TCCTGGTTTGACGAACACCATCACTGCTGTGAAGAATGCACAGATGGCGGAAAGCCCCTTGTTGCTCATTGGTGGCGCAGCTCCCACATTGCTTAAAGGTCGTGGTGCTTTGCAGGTAAGAAACCAGCTGGGGTCAGCTTTTATCAGCAAGGACGGTCTATTTAGGACATTGACCAGCTCGTTCTTTTCCATCCTCTTTGTAAGTTTGCTGCTCGTGTAGAACGTCTGCGTGATATTGTACCAACTCTCCGAGAAGCCATAAAGGTATTTCGTTACTAGTTGGCTTTACTTTTGTTACTGTTATCACTTATCCCTGCAGAAAATCGTTTAGGCGGCTACTTCAGGATGCCCAGGGCCTGTTTTCGTTGAATTTCCTGTAGATGTTCTCTATCCTTACCAACTTGTCGTCAAGGAAATCGGCTTCAACCCTAAACCGAGTGGATTCATACAGGTTTCTTGTGTTATGGTATATGCTCTCAACCACAAGCAAGACAATATCTATTTGAATTTAGCATAACAGCTTACCTTGGACTAAACAGCTCTTCCGTAAAGTCGTTTAATTAAAAAATGCTCAGTCTTATGTTTCCGTAGCTACTTGGTAACTTGCGATTCAGATGTGTATTGACGAGAGGCTTTCGAAATATTTCATAGTCATGGACGGATACATATTTATAAAATGTAACAAAATACTTGCAGAAAGCCCTTAATTTTTATCTGAGATGTCACGTGTCCCGACAATTCAGTGCTGCATGGCAGCCGCAGGACATTACTCCTCTACCGACACAAATTCCGATGCCTACACTCGAGGAGGTACACTTCTTATTCCTTGTATCCTAGAGGTATTCATATTGTATTAGCTCGGGAAGCAAGTCCTGCAACACTTTCCCACTTTTCGAATTTAATATTATCTTCTTTCTTTTTAAAATTCTCGATGAGGACTCTTCTAATATAAGATTTATTGGTTAGCTTTCGCTGTAATAACAGCTTCTTCAGACCTACAAAAACATCAGGTATATTACAATACTTCAAATATAAGAAACATCAACATAACAAACATCAACTGACCAGGCCGATGCTCTCGTTAATGGGGTATTCTGCAAGGCAATAATTCAAGACCGTCGTCAGGCTATTGTACAAATCAGGACAATGACAACAACAAAAGGAAGATCACCTCACCCTAGTGCAGTTGCTAACGAAATAAAAACCACTGGCAATGAGCAGTACGTGACTACTTTACAATACAGACTCTTATCCACCGTTAACTCAAAAGCCTCCATGAGCTCCTCTCTGTTGTTTATTTCTGGAGACAGTCGCTTGATAGCGAGTGCCTCTAACAATTTTCTTTCCAACGAGACTTCTTTATAGCGGTGTAGCACAGTGACCTTTATTGACCTTTACTATCCTTTTTGTTAACCAATCCTGACCGTTGTATACCTATCATGAGTGTCGACCACAAGTCTCCACGCACGATTTTTCTCGGTACTCCTTTTCCAATACGTGCGGAGTACAGGTCAACAAAACTCTCGAATTGAAGTTGATCAACTCATTATTTCGTCATAGAGGTGGTGATTGAAGGTCCGGACTAGGTGTTCAACATTCGAAGCATGACCAGGGGAATACGCCTGCTAAGGTGAGGGCTACAGAATCTTTTAACGGTTTCATTTCGGAACATGGTGATTCGCAATGTCATGAAAGAAGCAAATATTGTCGCGGTACGAGGGCTCTGACGAGCTGCCTCGGCCAGCTTCTGGAAGTCTGCAGCCTAGGACGTCTTCCTCCACAGTGGTGCCCATATCGAAGGATTTGCATTCAGGATTCTTACATGTGATAGGGAGTGCGAGGCGCAGATTGCATATAAAAATATTGGAAGATTAAAAGCGCTAGCAAAGGTAGTCGTGAACGAAATTCCCTTTGAAGCTATTGCAGACAGTATTGGTCATTGAGACAATTTTTATTTGTGGTGGTATTTGTAAACAATTACTCGGCGTACAGTTTGACTAGTCGTTGATGTTTGGCTTTTCCTTGGATAACTTCTGGTTGCAGCGCCTACATCCACTCAGTGGATTGAAAAATCGAAAATTCATTTCTATCTTGTCAAAACGATATCCTACAACTTTCAAAAGAAGAAGAAACTGAAAATCAGATGTGCAAGATCTTCCCAACCTCATACACTGTGGTTACTTATATGTAGCATCTTTTTGAGGGTCAAAAGGCTTAGAGAACTTCAATGTTTGGAATCTTGGAGCAAATCCCATTTTTCAGGTTGACAAGATTGTGCAACTTATCAGTTCAGCGAAAAAACCAGTCATGTTGATATAGGCAGTCAAGCGATGCTTCCTCCCGTCGTTCCTAAGGATTTGGTGAAGGCAGTTGAGGTAGTATGTTGGAGAGGCTGAAATCTCTTTCAGCAGCTTTTTTTTGTTCTGCCAATGGTTAGCTGTTTTACTGCTGGGATCAACCAGTGTATCTTTGGTAGGTATGGGCCCGCGGTTTACTGGAAGGAACAATCATCTTCCATGCGACAAAACGAAAAGACACTAACGCATGCCGATCTCCCCTAACCTAGCGTCACTATTTGTCCTTTTCAAAACTACCTTCCTTTTGACATATCGAATTGTATCATCATTGTGTACCGCCGTTTTTTTTTTTTTGTTATTTGTTTTTTACTATTATTTTCCGTTCGATATGCCTTTCCTAAAAATATAGGAAACTAGTGTGCGACTTCCGCCCTTCATATGCTGTGTTTGTCAAAAAAGTCAAAGATGGGTTGCATCACACAGACGCAGCAGTTCCCAAGGTCATTTATTGCACTGTTATCCTTTGGCACATTTGGTTCCTGCTCAACGTTAAGGCAGCAACAGGTGTAATAGGGGTTGAGTGCATTAAGGGCAGTCAATTCAGCATCCAGCTGCACCTAGAAGTGCCTTCATTGACTTACTTAACTTTGGATCTGTGTGTCCATTCAGTTGCTCAGTGTGGTGGAATCACTAGCACAAGGAGCTTGTGTTCAAGTACAACCTGATGCGCCAGCGGAAAAGAGTGTACTGCTTTCATGCCAGTACACTGCGACCAATTATATACAGGGGGCCAAAAAAAGACATTTTGCCTCCACTTCCAGATGGATTTAAGCACATTTTACTCAACTCAGACCGAACGGTTCCAACTTATTATTAAAGAGTGCATTCCATTCTATAAGAAAATCTTCATAGTGGCCACGTACGTGGACGGCATCAGAAGAATTAGCCCTGGAAACATGGTGCACTGGTCGATCTCAATGGGGTCTTCGAAGGATCGTGTACCATAACGACCCTTACTGGAAAGCTAGTTCCGAGGGGATTTGCACAGTGGTAGCTAATGCCTCTAGAAAACTATCCAACATTAAATCGATTCACGAAATTGCGTAAGAGCTTCAGGCTGAAGCTCTTACGGTAGACCTCCTTGAGCCTGACGACGGTGACAGATGACGTCATATTCTGAAGACGGTGAGGGCAGTGAAGGAGAGCCTGCGTACACTAATAGAGGAACACTTAGGGAATACTCTGCTGAGGAACTCCCGTCAACGACAGCAATCTCTGCGAAGAAAAAAGAGCCGAAGTCCGACATAGGCAAAATGTCTTTTTTTGGCCCCCTGTATTCCATACAATTTCCAAAACTGCATCTGAAGATGTTTTCGAGACAGGTAGTGAGAATGTGAACATATAAACTATGCTGACACAGTTCGAGAAACAAACAATTTTTTATTTCATTTTTTCTGGAGTACTTCGCTCTGCCAATCCGCAAAATTATAATTCCCACCCCACCACAACATAGGTTTCGGAAACTTCTGTGTAATGCATGAGTTGGGAATAGCGTCCGCTAATTGGTAAGGAGAGTGTGGCACGGTGGTATTGGACCAGCCCGATGCACTATCGACGTCATTAGTAGAAGGAATACACTGCAGCCTGATGACTTTGATGAAAATTGCATTAAACCAAGCGACCCGTCGCGAGAGCACGAGGAGGCAGATCACCAGCAGAAGTTTTCATTCATGTGAGTGCAGACTGCTATACGGACCAGTACAGAGCATGGTCCTTATACAACAACGGAGCACGCGTGATGGCGAAGGTAGCCTACAGTGCCGCTAAGTTGTGATAACGATCCCGATTCGTACTGGCTGACCAACGACGGGAAGTCTTATTCATGCTACCAACTCAACGAAATCCCAAGCTCCGTTATCAGAAGATTTCACTATCGCTTTGTTGGTCACTAGGTATCCTGCCTTAAGAACCTGTTTGCTATGTGCAGACAAGTTGCGAAAGCTTGCGTGGATCTTCCAAGATTGGTCGTAGCAGTGCGAAAATATCGTCCGAAAATCTCGGAGGCTCATTTCCACAACCTGGAGAGCGACTCGACCTCACATTGCAAAACATAGCTGCTGCGTTTCTGGAGACATCGGCTCAGAAACGAAGACCGACATTTCCATAGCTCGACCTTACTCATGTGATCTAATTCCTCCCGGCGCCAGAGGCAGTAAAGTTCAGACAGAATGAAGTCAAGAATAGAAATCATTCCACGAAACGAATTGCGGAATCGATTCTTACAATCCCCAGTATATGCACTCATTCAGGGAATAGACGCTCACATGTCGTTCCCTTGCGAAGTAGGTGCATGTCATGTGATATGTCCATGTGGCTCAACTCTGTTACTTAGAAAAATATAAACCTGAAAGACAAGTGAAGTGTCGATCGGTCAGAAATTTGAGAACACCAACTAATGCATATTATAGAGCAACTTATAATGCCAAAAAAAAAACTTACGTTTAACGGATCGAACTAAATGAGTTAATCGGAATCTACACACCGCCCTTAACATATGAAGCGGTTCGTCGTGAGGGAAATCAAAGGAATGCATGATATATCGTAATCTTCAATGCCAAACCTGTAGTAAGCCGCGCGAGACACGCTAATGCCTGAGATATCGAAGACTGTCAGCTAGTCTGGCATTAATGTAACTACGGCAGGCTACCCGCGTCGCTACCATAACTCATATAAATTAATGCGAAATATCTGTTAGCAATCAGTGGAGATAACGCCTACAAATATGATACAATGATATGTGAATTTTTTTGCAAGGATGCTGATTGATTGTGAATACTAACATTTGTGAACAGTTGAAATTGATACTGACTGTTACAGAATGAGAAGGCATTCTGGAACGCCGACGTCTCTGTGCAAGCTGACGTTGCTTCCTAAAAAACCTCCCTGTACCAAATGCCAGTCACATCGAAAAGGATATGGCGCATATTTCTGATTGTATACAAGATCGGGATAAATCTATAGCGTTATGAGAACACTGATCACAGTCCTTATAAGAATGCTATAGGTACCCACTATGGATTCTGACGAATTGAGAAGGAGAGAAGATTGAAAGGAGGCCAAAAACAGCATCAGAAAGACCACGGAAGAGTTGGCCCATGAGTGGCACACGTATTCATCAATCCATTGAACTCCCCCGCCCGCCTAGACAAGGTAATTATCACTATAGAAATCAGAGTAGTTCAGCTAACAACTGGAGTTGTGAGCAGCTATTTACTGGAACAATGATTCGGTGTTATCGCCTTCTTCGGTGCCTGGAGGGACAAAGGCGTTCAGCCACTACCCGCTCAAACACTGTTTCTGAGTCTGTTCAGTGAATGATCAAGAGTGTGACACTTCGTGTTATCCTATACGTTATCCTGAATTTTGCGTGGAAGGGGGAGGGTGTCTGCCAAAGTGAAAGCGAATGTTTACGCAGTGAAGATTTCCTTCTCCTACGTCTCATCCTATGTGGATTTATCCCATGTGTTGCAATTTCTGACACAAATGCTCAAAAGAGGATTTCACGATAGGGGCGAAGATCGAGGAAAGGGGCAACTCACCTAATGGAGACAGGCGCAGACCTCTTAAGGAGTGCGACCGACATGCGATTCTCATTGAGAGATATGCCCCGGCGATCTAGTATGAGCCTTCCCCGCGGCGTAATTGGCACGGTAAAGCGCGGTAAGCACCCCTCTCGCGTTCTATGTCTGGGTCTCCTGCCCTATGGCAGCGAAAGCATTAGTGTTGAAGAGGGCAGCATCGATGAGAGTCGTATCAATGCGCACGGGGATGGAAAGGGGTTCTATTACGCGCCCTCAGATGCCATTTTTCTCTGTTTTTCTTCCTTAGGACCTCTGGTCCGTCCTCTTATCCTGATTCAAATGGCTTTGTTGCACATCGTAAATCCGCCTTCACAGAAAATGCGTGGATTGTTAACCAACATTGCACCAAGCATTTTTGGGTGTTCCCGAAAAATTGCGTGCTAATGCTGAAACGCTTCCATACGGGGTACATACCAAATCAATGAGAACACTATGCGGAAACTGCTGAAACATCATTTGTCTCGTACAAATGCTTAATGGCTGCAAACCAAGCAAAAATCTCCCCGTCCCGCAAAGGTGAAACTTCGGAACGCTCTCGGAAAATTCCAATTTTCCACTGTAGAATCCACAAATGAGGTTGAACACAAATCTCTTTTTTGCCAATTGTTGTATCATTGAGCTAGCTAATAGCATACAAAAAGGCAGCTTTCTACATCAAGAAAGAACAACCTTATCACTGAAGAAGCAATTCCAAGCAACCCTTCTGTAAAACTTTCACTGTGAAAGATGTTCAAAGAACGTGGCCATTACAAGTTTGACAACGTATTCCGGGTTAATATAGCACCGCTCAAAATTTGGAATATGCGCAAAGGAATAAAATTCAAGGGTGTCGCCCGGCATCGGGCGACATTGTCGCCAATGTGTTAATATGACTGAGCTTGAACGCTACGCAGTAAGGTACTTATTGTTTAGTGCTTCCATTTTTCCTCTTTTTTTAGTGAACTTTCTCTAGAAGTGACTATGTTGTTGTTTTTGTTTGTGTATTCCGCAAAACTACTGATTATTCGGTAGAAAAAGCGAATCATTGGCTTCCTACAATGCCTAGAGACATCACCTCATTGGCTTTTGAAAAATTGCCTAGTTTTGTTAACAAAGGAAGGATGATAGGTCGAAGATGCCGTGTGTAATGAGATCTTCACCACCTGGTACGGTTTTGAAAGCTGTTTTCAATCTGTTTCATACCAGTGCCGCGTGCTGTACGACGCATCCAACAAAATTACGAAGATTGCTTTGGCTTGTGGTGGGATACAGGGTGTATATCGCTCGAGGAAATCCTGGAATGGGGATCATATTTGTCAGGGTGGATAATAGCGGGTTGCAACCGTGGAGGACACTAACTTGCACACCAGTGGCACCATGGTGCAATTAGGGGACAGGATGTAACACAGCGGAAAACGAGGACATGTGGGCAAACATGATAAAATATATTATATTATTTGCAGCTTCAGTTGCTCCATTCCCCTAGCTCTATGAGAAGGGCGTATTTGAAAGCAATACATATTAGTTTATAGGAGTTTCGAATGTGTTTACTACAGTGCAGTTTCGCTAGCAGGTCATCATAATCGAACAACTTTCAATTGATTCTCCTCACGAAATAGGGAGATTTTGCCATTTGAATAACAAAAATTCTCATGCAAATTTCAGCCTGTTTGACTTTGACTCGACGCAGTTCGAGAGGCTCTCTGCCGCTGAGTGAAGGGCTTTCAGAGCAGTAATCCTGCTCGATAATGAAATTAGTTCCATCTGAAATCACCAGAACTCAAGAGAGTGGATCTCAAGGTTGGGGCGGGGCTACAGATAATGTGACCCGGGGATAAACGGCGCTGCAACTGCATCCTTTTACACATTATGGAACTTCTCAATTTACATCAAATCAAAGCTAGGGGGACGCATCAAAACCCCGACTTGAAGAGCCACCCCCAACTGCTGCCACCAAATCCTCGACACGATTTCCACCCTGGTGGCATGAATTAACCCGCCAAAGCTTTGCCAGCTACAAGACCAAGATGACCTGCCTCCGACGTCCGGATGGAACAGTTACTGCATCCCGAAGGGCAATGGAGAAAGTCATCCACGACTTCTACTCGGATCTCTTCGATAGCCATGTCCATCTGCCTACTTATCAACTGCAACAGGATGGATACGTCGTCCCTCAGTTCTCTCTTCCGAAGTCCGACACGCCATCAAGTCGGTGAAGAATCGTACAGCACCCGGTCTCGACAGGGTCAAACCGGAACATCTGAAGAATGCACCGCCAGTTATCATCAAAACTCTGGCTCGACTCTTCACGCGCTACCTGTCGGAATGCAAGGTACCCACTCCGTGGAAAACCAGCAGGACCGTGTTGCTGTACAAGAAGGGAGACTTGGACGACATTGGCAACTATCGCCCAATCTGCCTGCTGTCTGTAATCTACAAGCTATTCACTCGAGTCATCCTTAACAGGATCGGCAGAATACTAGATGAAGGACAGCCATGCGAGCAAGCAGGGTTCCGAAGAGGGTTCAGCACGATCGACCATATCCACACGGTTACGAGACTCATTGAAGTTTCACGAGAGTACAAGATGCCGCTTTGTCTCACGTTCATCGACTTGAAGAAGGCCTTCGACTCTGTGGAGACAGAAGCGGTCATCGAAGCCTTGGGCAACCAGGGCGTCCCTACTCAGTACATCAAGATTCTTCGTGAGCTCTACAGCAACTTTACGACCAGAATCTCACCATTCTACAAGGAGGTCATCATCGACGTCAAGAGAGGGGTTCGACAGGGCGACACCATCTCGCCCAAACTCTTCAGCGCCGCTCTCGAGAACGTCATGCGTCAACTGGAATGGGAAGACATGGGAGTGAAGGTCGACGGCCGGCAACTACACCACCTTACGATCGTTCTTATAACGCCGAACATCGAGCAAGCGGAGCGAATGCTGGCTGATTTCGACTGCGCCTGTGGTAAGGTTGGTCTGCAGCTGAACCTAACGAAGACGATGTTTATGAGAAACGGATTGGTTCCTGATGCCCCATTCACGCTCAACGGAACGAACATCACCGAATGCTCCAGCTACGTGTACCTAGGTCGGGAAATCAATATGATGAACGATCTAGCTCCAGAGCTGAGCAGGAGGAATGGGGAGCGTTCAAGAACATCGAGGGAGTAGTGAAGAAGACGAAGAACATCCGGCTCCGTGCCCACCTCTTCGATTCCGCTGTCCTTCCTGCCCTAACCTACGCCTCAGAGACTTGGACTCTGCGCAGGCAGGACGAGCATGCGGTCAGCGTTATCCAACGCGCTGTCGAGAGGACGATGCTAGGAGTAACCCTATACACGCAAGTGCAGAGGGGAATCCGGAGTTCGGAACTACGCCAACGAAGATCAGGGACGCTGCCGTTTTCGCCAAGGAATCGAAGATAAGGTGGGCCGGACACGTCATGCGATTTTGCGATGACCGTTGGACCAGAGCGGTTACCGACTGGATCCCTCGGGACGTCAAACGAACACCTGGACGACCGCTCTGAACGAAAGGAATGAACGGCTTCGTGTCCCTCGAGCGAGGAGGATCCACTGGACCACTCTAGCACGCGACAGGGACGAATGGAGACGTTGCTGGCGCCCGCTCGAGCAATCGACGATCAACGGGACGACAGGTGATACAGGTGAAAGTCACAGGGCAAGAGAATGTTTTCCCGGGAACTTTTTGGATTCTTTTGAAGTTTTTTTTTCACGACGAACGATATAACAGTAGAAGCCTGACAATGTTACATAAATATCTTTCTTGTTTAGTCACAATTGTTTCAGAAACTTCCTGATGATGCTATTTTGGTGGCAGATGGTGGTGACTTTGTTGGATCAGCAGCATACATCGTACGACCACGTGGTCCATTACAGTGGCTTGATCCTGGAGCATTTGGTACACTCGGTGTAGGTGGCGGATTTGCACTTGGAGCCAAAGTTGGTAAAAAAAACATTTCATCCGATGAATACATAGTCTCTCATAGTTTTCCAGTTTCACTTTTCTGTTCTCATTTTAGGTGGTTCACCCTGACCGTCCAGTGTATATTCTCTGGGGAGATGGGTCATCTGGTTATTCCATTATGGAATACGATACATTTACTCGGCACAAGTTGCCAGTTATTGGTGTTATTGGTAACGATGCTTGCTGGTCTCAGATTGCTCGAGAGCAAATTCCGATGTTTGATAGCAGTGTTGCAGTTGACTTGGCGGTAAAAGCTCCTTAATTATAGTTAACTCCATTGTATTCGGTTACTATGTGAACCTTCTATACAAAAATCTTGCTTTGTTGAACTATATTTCTGTTCATTGACGAACCCACTATGATAAAGTGGCAGCTGCTTTGGGAGGATGGGGCGTAACGATTGATGCTGAAAATGTGTCATCTACTGAAGAAATTCTAGAGGAAGCTCTGCGTGAAAATCGTCAGGGCAAAAGTGCTCTACTCAATGTACTTATTGGCAAAACGGACTTCAGAGAGGGTTCAATATCAGTGTAGCATAAATGCTACTGGACCGAGAGATCTGATCGAAATGCTACTTCAGCTTCATCTCTTTAACTACTTCAACAGTTACCGAACATACGTTCGGTAATTTTTTCTGTAATGTGGCTCACACCCATTATTTGCGAAGATAGGGTTTCTGCTTTTGAAAGGATCTTCTATTACTGGCAACATAGAAATTTTGGCTACAAGAAAATATGAATGTGGCAAGATGGTTCTCAAGTAAGAACTGTCAGAAGCCACAACCAATTTTTATTGAAGCATTATGGAGTCGCAGTTAAAGATCGCTTCCAAAGCAAGCCTTACAAGGGAGGTCTTTCAGGGCAAGGTGCGCTTTTTCAAAACGGTTTTGTGCATATTGTAGGGACGCATGTAGGGAACGCAAAACCATGTTTCATTTTCGCTGAACGGTTATAGCAGTACCAAAAAAGAAGCATAAGGTACTGTTAATGGTTCGATCCCCCGCGGCGACTAAATTTTGCAATCAAGGTTGGCGGCCACTTGTTGGCTTCAAAATGGTCCTGACGATGAATTTGACATCTGATTTTGATATTTAGCGCGATTTGGCACCAAACCGTAGGCGCCAACCCAAATGCAAAATTTAGTCGCCACGGGGGATCGAACCCTTAACAGTACCTTATGCTTCTTTTTTGGTACTGCTAAACCGTTCAGCGAAAATGAAACATGGTTTTGCGTTCCCTACATGCGTCCCTACAATATGCACAAAACCGTTTTGAAAAAGCGCACTTGCCCTGAAAGACCTCCCTTGTCAGTGCTTGAATCGTTCAACAACCACATCCACGTTTTTTAATATCGTCATTCTTCAGGATCTTTTCTATATTCTTATTCATTCTAAATGTTCGCTTTCATTCCAATAGTAAGTAAAATGGTATTACCAGATGATTAACCAAAGCACATTTGACGCTGCCTTCTCTAACATTCCTAATTTTCACTTGTTTCGAGCCCAGTATTTCAATTCACTTGACCTGCTTGAAAGCCCATGAATTGCCATGTGATTAAGTTGTTACGATCTTAAAGGCCATGCTTTTTTTGCCATTCATGCTTTTTTGAATTGGTGTATGTGTTGCTGTTGTGAAAATATCTTATGGGTTACAAGAGTAGAGAAATATTAAGAATCTTATTTTACACCAAACTTATTTGATGATTAGATATGGTGATATATGGATAAGTAAAATTTTATGAGCTTCCTGAATGTTTTCTTTATTTATTGTTGCAAAACGTCGACATTATTCCCGTTGTCTGAATGCTGTGCGGAAGCAGGATTTTTCACACGTTGCTTTCCCCAATAATTTGCTGCACAATGCTGCTATGGGCAGAGGTCTTTTTTTCACCATTCAATCTAGCCTGCAGTTTTCGACTTCTCACAAAGGTGGATATGCTAATTTATTATAAATATCCCAGGTCCACTTTTTCTTAGTCGAGTCAACATCTTGAGTTTCCCCAAAACATCGGTGTTGGGTTTAGATCAGCGCCCTGATCACGGAGATTGCATTCCATTTTTCGCCAGCGCACTTTCGTGCCACCTTGGGGCCGCGACATGCATGCCCCACTTGTCGAAGAAAACTCATCGTGAATGGGGTCATTTGTGACCTTGACCATGAATATGGAGTCTAACATAGAGATAGTACCAGTGGGCACTCACGCTGAAGTAAGCCAAAAATGCAAAAACCGCACTGGGTGCGTGACTATTCAATCGTGGCGATAGCTAGGTCGCCGCGCCAGCCGCCGCAGCCCGCGATGCGACGTCGGCCGTGGTTAGAATTCAGGGTTCTAGCATTGGGGAATGTAGGATTAGATGAAGTTTCCAGTCGTGAAACACGGTATATGATCACCTGCCCCCTTAAAATACAGGATCCTTGTCCTTTGCCATTATTACAAACTTATTCTGTCATACTGATGTTATGCCTTCCTCACCGTTCCACTGCGTCTTGGAACGTAATATTTTCCGATTTAGCCAGATTATCGCTCTCTGATAACAATTCAGGCAGTTGATTAATAAAGAAGTCTCAATTATGTTCAAAAGGACAACCTTTACATGGCACAAGCTCTGTACAGTGAGGCTTAAATAACTGCGGAGATCTTAAGGTGACTCTTGTTGGCTCACTGATGTCTGGAACTTTGGTCTTATCAGTTCTCTAACCCCACCAGCAACTTATGGACAAGGACCGTTAAGCCAAGACCCATACAAAAATCGCCGCACCATTTGCCGCGCGCGACGCTGCCCGCCGCGTGAGCGGCGTGACCTCATTAGCCGACGATTGAATTGACCGTCTCCCAACGCAACTCACGTAACGCACGCGCCGTGCCACTAGAGTCTATCGCGCTATCCAATTGGCCACCGCATCCACACAACACTCCGCCACCGAAATCCTCGACGAACCATTACATTTTCGTCAGCACATAGCTTGCACAAACCCATCATTTTACTCAAACCTCTCGTTGTTTTCGATGCACGGATAGCGGGGACCTTTTAATATGACATGAGCCCGTAATAACTGTCGGACAAGATGCCGCACATGAAAAGCAGTAAAACGATAGGTTATTTCCAGGGTGATTTTCTTCGTCCCTTCTTTGGTATTGAAGGAGCCATTTTGGTGAAACGAAGCATACTTTTGAGGTTCCTGCGTGTGCCCCTACATCATGCAAAAAAAGCGTTTTGAAAAAGCATGGCACGCCCAACAGCCTCCCTGTTTGCTTGCCACGCAATCGTTTTCTAACAGGTAATTGTCAGAATTTGGACAACAAGTGTATTTTTCTGCAAACCATAAATGTCAGCAGACAAATAATCTGGGAAAGAATAAGCTCACAAAAAATCCTCATACAGTAAAACGACGCGACGTCATGCTGTTGGAACCGCGCAAGAGCTCCAACGTTTCGTGACAGTAGTGGGTGTTATGCAACAGCTGTGACGATTTATCGTACCCAATTACATGACACAACACACTATTCGTAATTAACCATTTATTTGCAAAATATGTACAAAATCATGATTGGCAATGAGCCAATCAATGTACTACTACTGTAGATTCTAGGCTTCAACCAAGCTAGGGAAAAGGGGACTGTCCGCAAATTCACCTGCCATCTTGTACTATTGAACCATCTTCTCGCCGAGGATGTTCAAACGTACACTTCCTTCTGAACACAGAAGGGCGACCATCGCGTGAGCCACGCTTAGGCCAACGTGCATCTGTAGTCGTCTTGTACGAACTACTGCACAACTGCTTTCCACACGGGGAAAGATCCACTCTTCAACTGGTGTGAAGAGAACGAAGCTCGCATCGGGCGACGCTTCGGAGTCAGGGGGAGCCCTCTAGCACGTAGAGTTAATCACCTAGTCGTCCGCAACGACCTCGGGAAACTCCCCTCGTATTCCGAGAGAGACCGATCTGCTCACATCCCGTGAGCTCGGCAAAACTCCAGACTGACTGATCAGCTCGATCAGAAGACGGATCGACAGTAGATGGGGGCGTGGCTTAGGTTTACGACCATAAGAGAGAATCTCAAGTACCTAAGGTTACACCTAGGGATACTAGTCTGCACCTGCATGCACTTTTACAACCTGCACGCGGCCCCATCTCAATCCGAGATGTTACTCACAAGTTATCTAAACTTGGATGATACAGTAAAACTGACTAAGGTTACCCTAAAGAGTATAACAGAAGAGTATTCTTCAGCGAACCACTCCGGCTCGACACCTTCGGGTGACTCATGATCACGCTGTTGTGTGCGAACTTAAGACATCGTCAATGTGAATGACTTGGAAGATGATATCAGGTTTTTCCTTCGGCTTCAGGTCCTTCCAAGACGAGTCAGTCCAGGGGAATTCGCAGGAACTGCAAGATGGCGTGGGGCCTGGACTCTTTTGATGCAGCTAGTCGCTAAGGGCACGGAACTCATCGCGCTGGCCGAACCAAAACAACAAGCAATGGAAAAAAGTCTGTGGATATGCTTCGAGATTTATTCGAAGAAACGCTGGAGCAGCGACCATCCCTCAAAGATCGCCTTCGATGCCTCCTGCCCTTTCGTTCAGATGAAGAAATGATTGGAGCTGGATTCGCCACGGCCATCTTCGAAGAAGGGAAAGTATTCACGCAAAGTGCGGCTAAACGTTTTTGGAATACAACTATGTTACAACACTCATCATTGTTGAAGTTGTCACCGTTCCGCAGAACCGACGAGCGCACGGCGTATACCGGAGCAGCCAGAACGCTACCGCAAGGCCACGTTCGAAAGAAACGGACATCGGCGAGGTGGTTATCACCACAGAGGTAGTAGCCGTCCAACACACCAAGGGCCCTCCGCCAGGAACCGAGAAAGTCACGGATACCGCCAAGAATCCGGAGTTCGGAAAGTTCATCACGGTCAGCAAGAGCGTCAGCCGCTCCAACGAATAGGCAACAAATTGTTCAAACTTGTCCCTGTTGACAAGAATCAGTATGATAACCACAACTGCAGAAATAGAGGGCGAGGAGGACGAGGTTCTACGTCCCGCAGGCAATTCTAGGTACGGCGTAGTGGAGACGCCTTTTTCCAGAGGCCCCCCATGTTGTATGTATATGTATTACATCGAATATTGAGGGTTTCAGGCTCGAAACTGACCCCGATGATGAAATCGTAAACGTTGCCAGGTGTGAAATATCCTCGATTATCGAGGAGTTTGGCCCCCAAATCAACGACATCGTAAACGCTGTCTAGAAATATCCGCGGGTACCGAATACCATGTTCGAGCCACGGCCCCCAGTATTCGGACACGCCCCCTTATTGTCTATAAATAGTGATTTGTAATCATAACAGTTCTCTACTCTCTATTCGAGTTCTCAACATTCCATTTGTCTCATTGTTATTTGATCGTGATTGATTTCTGTTCTAAGCGCTGATAAATATTGTAAATTCTGAAGAGCTCTTCAATCTTGATTTCGGTGAGACCATAGCCTATACCACTAGACATCGTTATTTCGGAAGTGAAGTACGTTACA